GGGGGGTAGCAGTAGAGGAACAACAAATAGTTGTTAAAAGCCTAGAGGGCCCTCTCGCAACTGCAGTAATGTTTACACTTTGGTTCATGTCAGTATGAATGAACATTTAACACGTCAGTCAAAAATTGCGTCATGAATGGGAAAAAAACGTAAATAAGCTTCGGACTATACGTCGCAGGACTGAGCAAACTATGAAACAAAGAGTGACTCATAGTCCGGAAAATACGGTACTTTTCTATGAGTATGGACACCAAATTCTACAAAACAAACAAGACACTGCGATGACTGCGAGAGCTGTCTCCAATTTCAAATGTAGCCTTCTTTTTTTCTAAAAACACTTCTGTCAAGACTCGTAAATGAAATGGACACAGGAAACAAAACATGAACGAATGCAGGAGCTGGGTCAAGCAGACAAAGACTTAAGTTTGAGCTGTGCTTGCTCTAAGTGAGACAGTGTGTGATTAAGAGATACGCTTCTTATTAACCGTTCGTTTCACATTGTATCATTTACACAAAAGGTTAAACAAATATACACAAAAGCAGCAGCATGTTGTCTAATTGCAGATTTATTATTGAGGTATGATGAAACTGATTTTTTTTGTTTGTTTTTTTAACCTTGTTTTGTGCAGCCACTAAGGTCTTTGTATGAAATCTCTTAAAAAAATGGGACAATTTGGTAGGATGGCGGGGTAGCGGGGTGTAGCGACACAATTCAGAGCACACGATGTACGATTCTTCCTTCCATGTTTCTTTACACATTTCTCCATCGTGGCGCAGTGGTGTGGCTCAGTTTCTTTCTCGGTGGAGGGTGAATAAAGGAACCAGGATCGCTGAGTGCTGAGACAAGACACCAGGCTTCTGTCTCAAGCTCCAACACTTCTTTTTTTTTTTGGATTGTAAACATCTCGCCAAATAATCAGACATGGATTAATCCCACTTTCAGAATCAGTCTTTAGTATTCAGTGCTGATGCTTGCTCGTGGTTTTTGTTTCCGATCGTCAATGGTTGTGGTTTTCATCAGCCAGGCTGTCGGCTGCTCTTCAGGTCCCGTGTAATTAAGAATGTTACCGGCCAGAACGATAGGACGGGGGATGGAGCGGAGGTGAGGGCGATGTGGAAGCAGGCTGTCTCAAATGAAAGCGTGAGGTGGCGCTCGTCTAGTCGTCCTTCTCCACTATGACTTCCCCGTGAAGCACCCTCCTCCTCTGCCGCAGCATGTGCAAGTAGAGCTGAGGAAACACTGCCACAAAAAAAACCAACCCACAAACAGAATTCAGTGGTGAAAAGATGCAACTAGTACGTTAAAGAAAATTATTAGCAAAATGAACTGAGACTTTATATTTTTTATCTTCCACCTCTAAAGATCATGCAACTAAATGCTTCTGACACATTAATTGTAGAAGAATGCTGAGCATTTTAATATTTTAAGCTTCAATGATGCATTCAAGCGTGATTTAAGTTTGAGTGTGACTGCTCTGTCCTGTCTGATGGTGGTGCTGTCTCTCTGTAATGAGTCGTGGGGATGACGTCATCCAGGTTATTAAATGAGACAGGACAGTGTGCTTGGTTTTGATCTGATCAAGCTGAGCTGATTGAAGAATAAGAAGCTAATATAAATGCTAAAAGAGCAGCTGTTGTAGAAAAGCTTCAGGTTGATTATGCATATTTTTAAGACATGGATAATTAGTGTAATTTATTTAATTTTTGTTTGCTCAGACTAACAAGGTCCTCAAAGTTTAGATGATTTTGTTATTCTATTGAGCTCCTTATTATTCCATTAGTAAATGAAACAAGTGGTCTGTCGATGTCCTCCATTGTTGAGGGACTTGAATAGTGAATGATTGTAGTTTTCAAGATGAGAAAGACAAGAAATGCAAGTCAACTTTAATGTTTTTGGTGAAAGATATTCAAGAGGTAGGAGTTACACCGTAAAATAACAGGTAGATTTATGTTTTGCTTGTCTGAGGCAACACGGAGTGATGGATCCAGGCGAGTGGAGGGAGAAATTTTATCCACCACCAGGTGCAAAAGTGAAACCAGGGGTTGGTCGATGGTGACACCATTAGACCACCGCTGTAGATTAATCTTCAGCCACTCCAATCATTTGAGGAAACTATACAAACTAGGAAGCATTGTTTCCTCAAATGATGGGGTGGCTGGTTTAAATTTATATGTATACCGTATTTTTCAGACTATAAGGCGCACTTAAAATACTTTAATTTTCTCAAAAATCGACAATGAACTTTATAATCTGGTGCGCCGTATGTATTAATTCTGCTTACTGACCTCAAACTAATTTTATGTTGTTATTGTGAATGAGTTGAATAAAGTTTGACTTATCTGACTGTTTTGTTTCGCTTAATGCGCCTTATAGTCTGAAAAATACGGTATATATGGCAGCAGCCATTTTGGACGTTGACATAGCAATCCAACTTTCGATGGTGAACTTCCTTAGGCCCAGATGTTGCCACACACCAGAATGGAAGTTGATAACTTACTTATTGTTCAAGTTATCTCACAACATGGATGAACCAACAGAGGGTATTTCCAATTCCCCCTATTTGCTCCGTGACAGTAGACAATGAAATGCCACCATCTTGTACGTTGTTCTTGTTATTATATGAGTCGTTTTAAAAATTTGATGCACAGTACAGGAAATAAATTCTTACGTGGAATATAGGACAGCATGACGATGACGAGGAAGTAATAGTAGTCAAACGACACGTTGTATTTGTTGGGGAGCCTCGTGGAGTACATTCCAGATCTGCGTACAAATGGCAGTGCGGCGTAAATGGTGAGCAGCTCTCCGACAACTCCCAGTGGGTACAAGATGATAAAGAAGTTGTATCTGTAACGAAAATGAAAAGAATATATTTTTTTTATAAATTAGACTTGCAGATGTAAAAGGAAGCACACAATGAGAACACACTCGCATGCATGGTCATTAATGAGCGTTCCAACTATTTACATTTCTACTTTCTGTGCAGAAGTGTTGAACAGGTAGATTAGGACGTAGTTCGAGTGATGTTAGCAAATTAGGATTAAAAAAATTAACAAAAAACAACATAGTTGTAAGATTTTGCCAATACACTGGTAAATCAAAAACCTGTTCTAATTTAGATTATTATTTTATAATTTTAAAATCATGCCAAGTGTGTAAATTGTAAATGCTGAATCAGCATTCAAACTTATCGTTTTGTGTTTTTCTGTACGTTTTTTTGCCATCTACTGCATAGTTTGTGTTGTTTTAGCCATTCATATTTCAACATGTTCATTTCATTCAGGAGATGGAAATGTTTTTTTTTTTTATATCATTATAATAATTTTGCCTGTTATACTTGTTCAAGTTTTTTTGACATATAAGACTTGTTTCCTAACTGTTTGCCTTCTGGGTAATTTATACCAAATTAATCACAAACACAAACTGTGTTCACCAGCCCACTGCGGCTTATAGATTACAGCAAACTGCTGCATTCATGTCCAGACACTGTATGTTATTTATAAAAAAAACTAAATTAATAATATCTCTAAAAAACATCAAGAGATGGAAGATACCAAACAACAAAGCAAGTTTGACAACGAGAGGAAAACAAGAAAACGTAGCACAGTTTGAGTGTTTGAGGACTGAGCAACAAATAAGTTCAGTAAAAAAAGACAACGTGAGAAAAACTCGTTTTATTCTACTTTCAAACTTTTTAATATAAACTGTAATTTGTGAGCTCAAGAGGAACTGATAATGACTGGAAATCACTAAGGCCTGGAACTGTGAGCCAGACATTTAATCTAGCACCGGGTTGTAGTGAGTAAAGCTGCAGGATCAGACTGTGACTGTAATTTGACCTGCAGTCATAATCACACTACCACTGGATGCACTAAGGTTATTTAACATAATAATCTTTGAACTCATACACCAACTCTCTTCAAATGTAGAAACTAATATGTTGCCATCAGAAAGTTAATATCTTCCTATTTCAGGCTGGATTTAGCGCACATCCAAAGTCTGTTTGCATACTGAATATACGCTGTGTGCTGACTTATGTGAGAGCAGTGCTCTCGTGGACAGGGATCCCGCCTTCAGCCGAGGCTCGGAGCAGCGTCTCGGCGGATGTGAGGGAAACGCTGGCTGAGCATTCCATGACCAAAACAGATGGGGTCTTAAAAAACAGGAGCAGCTGAACATGAGCCCTTCTCCGTGGGGCCTGGCGTCTCTTCCATGCTTAAAGAAAGATGGGAACGGTGGGGGAGGAGAGCGTCGCCAAGTGTGCAAGAATCCAAAGCTAAAGGAAAAACAAAGCTTTGGCACGGAGCTGGATGGATCTTGCAAGGATGGAACAATGCAAATTAAACAAAGCATTTTTCAGGAAGTGCTGTGGCAGCTGAGCTGATGCGAACTGTTGTGCAAGAAGTATGATGACCCAGTAAGATGCTGAGATTCTGCTGGACCACTTTCAGATCAGACGTTCCTCTGATCATCTCCTGTTTCAGGTGAGCTACTGAGTCACAAGTTAGGATTTCCCTCTAAAGCGGAGAAACCTTCACTACAAAATCCTCAAATCTTACGTTTTAAATGCTAATCGTTAAAGAAGTGATAACTTGTTTCAGGATCAATTTAAAACCGACACGCAGTCTTGTATTTTCAGTGTTGTCAACAAACAAAGTGAGCAGTTAGTTCAGTCACTGACAAATAATGTCTAATAAAGCAGAAAACGTGTTTCTTTTCTTTGTGGGAGCTGGCTAACACCCAACACACACACACATGCTGCAACACTTCCTGTTGTACAAAGCCAAAATCACCAGCTCAGTCCAACATGCTCACACACACTATCCAACACATTAATAAAAGTTCAGCTCGGCCGCGGCTAACGTGCATCTCCACCTGGCCCATTTGATGAAGAACGGCAGGTGGTGGAGCAGATTGAACGTGTAGTAGGAATATCTGGTGAGCTCTGTCATCGTCCACACAACCAGGAACAGGATTACGCTTTCTTCATTCTGGATCTTTGGCAAAATATACAATTTCATGTGTATAGAGACGATAAAAGCAGGTCTACATCATGATCTGTGTGTACGGTGTGCAAATCATCTCTGAAGCTGTTAACAGACACCAAAAAAAAAGCTTAAAGTTCATTTTTTTAACTGCAAAAGTTTTGTGAGAATTTATCCTCATGAGAATAAACACTATATGTATGAATTTAATTATTATGCATTCTATTATGGAAATAAAATACAGAAACAAATCTTGAAATTGTCTTTCTTCCTGTGTGTTATAATTTGTGGCAGAGTTGGCGTCACGTTCACCTGTCTGATGCTGCTGGTGACGAACCAAACCATGAAAATCCGTGAGCACACTTGAACCCCGGTTACAATCACAGAAGTCCTGACAATTCCTGCAGCAGAGCCAGAAAAAAACAAAAAAACAAAACATCAACATCTGGACAGGTGTGATACAGTATAAAAATGTGCTTAAAGCAAATAAAATAATAATTGAAACCATCACATACCAACGGCACAATGTCCCACCTGCAGGACAAATACACAACAAGGAGCAGATGGAGTTAACTGTCTTTCCAGAGTTAAAAATGTTATTCTGTGAAAAAGTTTTTTTTTACCTCAACTAATGCAAAGGTTTGGAAAAATTTAAGTGTCCTTGCTATACTTCTGTAGAGACCCTTGTGTGTGCCTTTCTGAATGTAGAAGCGCATCATTGTTATGGCCAAAACCAGCCACCTGCAGGAACACAAAGCCAGCACAGGAAATATGATGACATGTGTGGAGCACACTGCTGCTGATGGTCAGCCAGCTGCAAAACATCACACACTTATCATATGAAGTGATACTAGAGTGAAAACAAGATAGGTGTTTCAGAAGGAGGAAACGAGAGAAAGGTATTAAACTAATTCTGACCTGTTAGGAGTAAATGTTACAAATCACAGTGCGTTGTTTTAGATAGACTAGCCAACATCCGGAACGTCGAAATATAATGAACAAGGACATTCTTTTATGAATGTATGTTGATTAAGTGCTAAAACACCAACTGTTTCTAAGTTTTATCCTTTGGAAGCATAATATATTACATATGAAGGCATTTTAAAAATAATATGTAAAGCAACAGATGTGATATAACAAGGTTCATTAACAGGAAATGATGACCGCATTGATACAATAGATGACAATACAGCGTGTCCAGATAATATTTCAATAAACAAAGACCAGGGAGTTCCCCTTTGATGTCACTTCCTGTTTCACTTTGGCTGTGTCAAGTAAAATTAAATATCTCAGTTATGAGACAAAAATGGTAAAGCATGTGTAGTATGCCAAATTTTGTAAAAATTAAAATGTTTTCTTCCACTTCCAGGTCCTAGCACTTTAATTTGAAACTAAAAATAATAATAATTAAAATAAAATATAAATGTTTGTCATAACCAGCGCTGTCATGGCTTACACATTAAAATGAATGAAACCTTATTAGCTTGTTGATCCTAAATAATGAAAAGTTAAACATGATTTTACAAAAAGATTTTGGTACAAAATAAGAATCATAATAATGCAAATATTTAAAACCTATTTAAATGTTACCATTATTTGTAAATAGTTCAAAGATAACAGGTAAATGTAAATTATATATACATATATTTAAACAAAAAATTATATGCTTTTCTAAAATCCATCTTAGTCATTTATAGTTAAGGTCGATTAGCAGGAGCTGCTATTTTGAATGGGGTTGACTACAAAAGTTAATCATATGTACATCTAGTATTTACTTTGACAGCTTCATAAAGTCCACTGGTTCATAACCCCCCC